GGGAGGAAGAAAAGGAGGAGGATGAGGGTGCTGCCCGCTCTCTCCGAGCAGAGGGGCGCCTCAGGCCGCGGGGGGCCGGGGTGAGGGCTCCGGGGCGGCAGCGGGCGCGTTCCACCTCGAATCAAGGTCCAGTTGCCGCTCCTGGAGCGTGATGAAGTCCTAACAACATTAGCGAGCTAAAATAAGCTCATGGTCATCACTTGTCCGTAGCAGAAATCTGTAAGTGGCAAGTGAGCAGAAAGGGGAAGACACTTGTTGGCAGATCTGTCCCTGCCTGTACAAAACCTGCCTCTACTTCTTCCCTTGCACCAGGGGATTTCCCGCCATCGGGGAGGGGATGTTCAGAGGACTTTTTGTAGTGACCACAGGTGAATAAATATCACAGCTGTAGTTCATAAGATTGAGCCTGACGTATCTGACCTACCTTCTCTAGTTGTCTGTGGTAGCTGATGAGTGGACTAAAGAATGATCTCTTCCCAGCTCTCTGTTCTTAAGTCAGTGTCAAAATTGCCTGTTCTCTGGAAAAGTGCTATTAAAGTATATGAAAATGTAAGCTCCTTTGAATGTCAGTTGCTCACATTTGCTTAAGTATTGTCTAGCTACTACTGAGAATATGTATTTTTTAAATCACCTGGATGATTTGAAACTGAACAAAGTATACCAAAGAGGAAGAAAATCATGATGATTCTGATTTCCTCAGGTAGTATGTCATACTGTGATGCTTCTAATTTGGTTTGGACAGCACCTTAATAGAATACGTGTAAGTAAAGTTTTTTTGCCTCCACTTCATCAGTTACCACAATGATGTGTTTTTACTGTGTTTGGTGTAGGAGTATTTTATCGATCAGCTGAGGTCAGATGGAGTTGTTCATCTTCCTCGGCGTGTTACCAATGAAGTTATAAATAATACTCGATACGAATTTTACACTCAAGGAGGAGTGATATTTGCTAGAAGTCGAATCCTTGTGGTAGATTTCCTTACTGACAGAATTCCTGCAAACCTCATTACTGGTAAGAGTTTAATGAAGCAAAGGTAAGACTGTTCTGCTTGAAAATACATAGAGCTTAATTATATATGAAGAGTTCTACTAGCCAGTATTGAAGTTGAAGAATTATTCTATTTTCTCTACAACGACTGAGGGAAAATGAGCAAATATGTAGTTCTCTCATTACTTTTTTAAATGGTCTTCTTTGCTCCAAATTTGTTTGCCTTATTAAATCATGCAATTTGAAAATATCCACACTATTTTTAGATACTGGGTCATGCACTTGGTTGGTTTTCCAATATCAGTAAGTGGCTGGAAAACGAATCAGTTAAATTATGCCATTGACATAAGAAACATAAAATTCAGACTGGCTTTCAAGAAGAGTCTTGATTGCACTTGGTGAAATAGTGTCCTATAGTCTATAGGACACTAGCCCACGATTAGAACTGATTTTTAGATGTCACATCTTATCAACCATGCATACTACCTATTTTTTGTATTAACAAATCACTCCTGATTATTTTTCCCATAAAAAAATAGCAATATGGTACTAATCTTTGTCTTGGCACACCTTGAACACTATCTAAATAGCAGTATTATGAAGTAATGCTGTTGTCATTGTAAAGATTTTGGGAATAGCTTGTGACCTTTTTAGTATTACAGAAGTTACACATGAAAGATGTTACAGTTATCTTTTGCCTCTCATGTTCTGTTCTCTTTCTCCCCCAGCCTGGAAAGCTAGTAAAGTAGATACCTAAGAGACAGGAACATAAGAATATTTTATTGTTATCTAAACATTAACATCTTAATGGCTAAACATAACTGAATATTGAGTGCTTAGAAGAATGTAAGTGTCTGCTACAGAAGCTGTACCCCTTTCCTTTTAGTCAGTGTATGACACACTCTAATCTATAAAACATTTTCAACATTTTTATGCTAGGGCCAAAGACACCAGGTTTGTCAATTCTGATATATCTAACTTAAAAAAATTAACACATTTTCTGGACAACCTACAATTTCCCCTCCTCCCCTTGACTCTTTCCTCTCTACCTTTCTTCCCTACCAAAGAAGGGTTGAGAAAGGAGGAGGAGAAACCCCACACCTTTAGATTCTGTCAGTATGAAAAGAAGAAATACACAAAAGATTTTAAATAGTCCTGTGCAATGATAGCACAGCGTTCTTAATAGTTTTTGCGTTGCCACTGGAGGTCAGTGTGAGAGCAGCTTCGATCGACTTGCTGCTTCATTTCAAACTCGGGTAACACATGGTCCTGTTGGAAACACGTATTATCTGTGTGTGATATTGTACAACAAAACCTACAAAAACCTGTTAATAGTGTTTTTTGAGGAGCTAACACATAAAAAGTGTTCCTAGGTGTTAAAAATGTTGTTTATAAAATCAGGGTAAAATTGCATGTGAGAACATCTAGTGAACATAAAAATCTAGTTAAATGAAGATAAATTATCACTGCAGTAAAGAATTACTATTCCTGGTGGTTTTGGCCAAACAGAAATTATGTACTTAATAGCATACTAAAACTGATGCAAGTTGGTATAGTAAGCAGTGGCTTACACAGCAGTATGAACTAACTTCCTAAGCAGAGATATATTGACTAAAAGGAAGGTATTCTGGTGAACACATGGTCTTACAGGCCTGATACAAATTCTGCATCTCCTGTAATGTCCTTTCAGCGTCACATCCTGACAAACTGGAAGGTGTTCAGAACTGAGTATGATCTTCATTGTGTCCTGAAAAATTTGCTTCATAGAAGAGATGTAGGAATATCTAGATAGAAAAATACCTTTTAGTAGGTTATTCCATGACTTGATCACGAGTGGCTAGCAGTTGCATGGAAGTCTCTTGATGCTTTTTCATTTACAAAGCAAAGACATATTAAAATCAATGGCTCAGTGCTGAGTTGAAGAAACTTGTTATAGCAATTAAATGCACTGTAAGTTCGTCAGCTTAAGTAGGCCCAAGGTAAAACCTGTGATGTTTGATGTCCTTTGCTTCCATTTTAGAAAGGCATTTATTATTCCACTGGAAACTGTGAAGAGAAAAAAGTACCACATAGGCTTCACCTCACGAGAGGGAGAGTGAAAAAACATGCTATTTAACATAACTGAGCATGAGAAAAAATAAGCCTTGTTTTTAACAGGTCTTGGCTGAGGTGTAATCCCAGAAGTATTTACCTCAAACACTTAATGTAGCTAAGCTAATGTTTCACTTCTCTGTACTAAAACGTGCATGAAAAATCTGTTTTTTCTAATGCACCCATAGCCACGAAGAAAACCAGTGGTGTACTCTTACAGCAAATAGTATTTTCTGTCCTCAAGTGTGAATATGAACAACAGAAGGAAGGGAAAGCAAACTAATTTTATTCGCAAGTTCTCTGGTGCTGTAACACTTGAATTGCTACCAGTAAAACATACTTGGCAAGTCTGTAATTCCAGAATTTGTCTAATAAAAGGATGCAAATACCACAATCTTGAACACAGCAAAGTTGTAATGTTGTAATAGTGTGTTATGTCTTGCATTCACTTTTACTTCTTTTAAAAGGGTTAAGTTCAAGTTTTGCCTTAGGAGTAAAGAATTTCCTAAACTAGTAAGTCCTGCCACTCAAGCACAAGCTTTGTTTTGGTTTTGATTTATTCCTGAAGATGCATCATTAACTTAGGTTTGCTATTTGGGGATGCCATGGTACTGAAACTGAGGAATTGCTTGGTTTGAACCCTGGAAAGTTTGTTCAATCACTGTAGAAGTTTTAAATTCCTACTGTACTTCATTTGGGGGAGGGTGGGAGGAGTAAGTCTTAAGGGGAAAACTATAAAAAATTGGACCTTTCTTTACTTCTTGTAACTTCAGAACCTTTTCCTTTGCCAGGCATTTTGGTATACAAAGCACACAGAATCATTGAGTCCTGTCAGGAAGCCTTTATCTTGCGACTTTATCGCCAGAAGAACAAAAGTGGCTTCATTAAAGCTTTTACAGATAATGCAGTTGCATTTAACACCGGCTTTTGCCACGTGGAAAGAGCGATGAGAAATCTTTTTGTCAAGAAACTTCATCTGTGGCCAAGGTAAGGCACCTCTTCGTCATTGGAGGGTCAAACTTTAAAAAAAGATGCATGATGTTACAATGGGTTCCTAAGAAAATGAGGTGTATGCAGTCACACTGCTAAGCTGTGCTGCTCTTGTGTTCCCTAGCAAATTTCTTTCAGTCTTTGGCAGAAGAAGTGGTCTTAAAGATGCTAAATCTCTGTGAATATTTTCAAAGATAGACCCAAATTAAATCTATAAGGGGCTGAACTCTATGTATAGTTGTTCTTTTGGTCAATAGAAGTCACAGCAGAGAGGCATTCTTAATAGCTTAAGAAAAACTTCACTTATTAAACAGGTTATTTAAGCCATGAAATACCAGGAATACAGTCTGTCAGCTCTGCCATTCCTGGAATATTTGTTTCCAGCTGTGATGAAACTCCACAGCTCTCTTTCTGTATATCAGATATTTTTTATTTTCATTTACATGTATGTTGTATATGAAGAGTGTTTACTGATGACTCACAGAAACCAAATTGCCAGGTTTGTGACATGCACGAAGTCTTTCAGGAGTAGAGCCACAGATGGACCTGCAGCTTCAGGACCTGTTCAGTGCTCCTGCCTTGGGTAGGAGGTCTGCCCGTTTGTTCCTTTCGTCCAGGCTAGAAAGTGTTTCACTCTGTACTGTTAATTTGCATTGTAAACTCCTTAACAGTGTTTTTTTCATTATCACAGAGAAGCAGAAATGGAGGTAACTAGAATAATAAACGTTAAATAGAAACTCTCTAAATTTTCTTCCTTGGCTTCTGAACCATGAAAAGACTTGGGAGGTGCAGGATGCCATAAAGGGAAGCGTCCAGTGGGTTTCAGAGGTCCACAGATACAGTCTTCTCTGAGCCTCGTTCTGTTAGTAAGGATCAGCTAGCACCTAAGTACCTGTACAGACAGGTTGGCTGTAAAGGTAGTGTTCTAACAAGGACCTGCTGCTTCTGATCAGTAGCTAGGAATGTCACAGACTCTCCTTGTGGATCCATGTGATTCCAAAAGCTTTATGAACTCATTCCAGTTTCTCCCTTATGAGTTTTTTTTTGGCTTTACTTTGTTCTGTGTAATAATGATTTAGAATCTAGTGCAGTAATTTTCCATGGGTCATTAACCAGCACTACAGGCTCACATGACTAGAATGACTATAGAGATAATTGTGGAGTAGATGGTTTTCTGTTGCTGTTTGAGTCTTCACATCAGTAGAAACTGATTTATTTTGCAATTAGCTTACTTGTTTATGTTTAAAACAATTGTAATTGTAGTTTATACAAAGTTTGAATAATTGTAGGTCAAACAAACCATCCATGTAAATATTAATTAGCTGTTTTCCTCTTAGATTTCATATAGCAGTGAACTCATTTTTAGAGAAGCATAAACCTGAAGTGGTGGAAATACATGTGTCAATGACCCCTGCTATGGTTGCTATCCAGACTTCAATCCTTGACATCCTGAATGCATGTCTGCGAGAACTCAAACGTTACAATCCAGTTCTTGAAGTAGAAGATTTGTCTTTAGAAAATGCTATTGGTAAACCTTTTGACAAGGTAACTATTTTGGTTGTTTTGCTGTGTCTACCTACAGGGACGTAGATCTTCAAACTGTGTTCCCCTGCAAACAAAAATACTATTAATAAAATAAATAACCAGCAGCAACTGTTCTCCCCTGACATGTTTATTATTGGTACAAGGAGAGAAACTGTGTTACTCTGTAATGATCATGTTACTGTTGCCAGTCGGGTTTTGGTGTATTGATACTATTGTTCTTCCTTCATTTCCAAAGTCCCTACAGTGAGAAAATCCTGATTCATGTTTAGTTGGAGTTTTTTTTATTATTATTGTTGTTGTTATTATTAAGATGGCTGCAATTTCAGCTCAGAATATCTTACAGATAAGTATGCAGCTATTTACAGACACACACACCCTTTTCCTTTGTGAATTTCCTGCTTGTATTTTTTTATTTTCTCTAGTAGGAGAAGCACTGTATGTAATACTTAATATGCACATGTTCTATGTCATTAAATGTGTGTGCATTGCTATCTTTGGCAGATCTGCTATGTTTGGCACACATGCTTTCTGTAGGGTAAAATCATAAACTTCAACCATCACAGTTACACAGAAACATGGTTAGGTGTTACCTGTGATTTAATCTTGACCTAAGGCCTCCTGTACTTCAAATACCTGGAGGTTTTTTTTCTTACACAATGTAAGTTGTGTATCTGTGTAATCCTCATCTTAACTTTGAAAATTAAATGACATTATATTGTTTTTTACTTTACTTAAGTAAAGGATATTAGATACTTAGTATCCAGTACCAGTAAAGACCAGTACCAATAAAATAAGTTTGGGGGTTTTTGTTATTTTACCAGTATTTTATTATGATATGGAAAGGAAAATATTAAATTATATATGTTTGCTAATTGATAAAATGTCTTGCATAAAGGCATCTATATTATGTTAACTTTGAAGAAAATGATTGCTTATCAAAACACGTATTTCACCATCAGATCTTCAATTGGGTATGTTTAATAGCTTTGGGAAACCAGTGGCAACCCCTGTAAAGGAAAAAAAGAAATGCATTCTCACCTTGGTTAATATATTAAATATTTGCCATCCTGAACTTTCCAATTTATATTTCTAGACAATACGTCACTATTTAGATCCTCTCTGGCACCAACTTGGAGCTAAGACAAAATCTTTGGTCCAGGATTTGAAGATACTACGTACTTTGCTACTGTATCTAACTCAGTATGATTGTGTCACTTTCCTTAATCTTCTGGAGTCACTGAAAGCAAGTGAAAAAGCTTTTGGTGAGAATTCAGGTAAACAATGAATAAGCATACAAGTTAATGCATGAAACATTGAAATGTTGATATTTTTAATGAACATCCCAAACATATGAAGGTATCTAATTAGGTTTTACATAACTAGCCATAAGGACGTAGGTTTTTATTGACAGATAATTCTTTCATCTTCCCACTTAACTGCTGTTACTTAAAAGTGTGAGATTTGCGTCACATTTCTGTCTGTTATTAAGCTAGTAATTACGCAGCAAGCAGGTAGCACAGGTACTACTGATAAGAGATTGGGACTTTTAATGGATAGGGCTGAAACACGTACACATTGCAAATGTCAAGCTACTACTGCTTTCTTTTTTCCTGTTTAGGTTGGCTGTTTCTTGACTCCAGCACTTCAATGTTTGTAAATGCTCGAGCTAGAGTTTATCGCATTGCAGATGAGAAACTGCATCAGAAAGGCAAAGGCTCTGAAAAAAGTGGTGTGAAGAAGGAAAATGGTACTGATCATTCCTAATTTTAAGTTGGAGAGTGTCACACGATCTCAAATGCTTTGCATATTATTACTGGTGCTGTGGTTCCCTACATGATCTTACACAGCTCAACATCTCAATCTGTTAGCTGGGATAAATTGAGACATAATGTTAATTCAAAAGCATATAATAAACAACATAAAGCAGAACGATGAAGAATTAAGGGGTTCTTCTAAGTTTGCTCAGCCGATCATTGGGAGAGCTTTTATGGAATTGTTCTTGCATTACATTGGTGTTTAGCTTGATTTATTTTATGTGAATGAGTAGGAGGCTGCCATTGCTTTTATTTAAAAAAAATATATATTCAGGAGTTTCAGAATTGAAGAATGAGTTAATACTTTAAATTTTGCTTCACTAAAGCACTTATCCCCATTTTTAAATGTTTCTATAAGAGTGCTCTCCAACCCATTAGCATAACAAGTTGCATATGTAGGCTGTTGAATATCATATTTGCCAACAACCATCACGCTATTGACATCTAACCACTAATTTAAAGTTCTGAAGGATATTTTGGCTGTAAGAGCTGCTATGTTCAATCTTTGTTTCAGAACTGAAAAGGGAATTGGTTCTAGAAAGTAACCCAAAATGGGAAGCTTTGAGAGCAGTGCTGAAAGAGATTGAAAATGAGAATAAGAACAGTGAAGACTTTGGTGGTCCAGGTGAGAGAATACTAAATGATTTTCATATGTGTTTAACTAAATGATGTAGATTTGCACAGTACAGTAAAATTTGTGGACTTTTATGTACATAAACCATGTAAAACTAAACAGTTTTACATAAACTCCTATCTGTCTAGTTCTGGCTCTGAAAGAGAAATGCTGTTGGTTACTATGCAGTACTGTTTAGGAAAAGAAAAGTATTACGAAAAACTATTTTGTGTTACATTACAATGTTGTACTGGTACTTTAGTCTCAAAACCAGTGAAACTAATAATGTGGAAACTTACAATAATCAAGATACCATTTGCTCATTTCTCAAGTTCAGGTTCAAAAAAAGGAGCGGTTCCGTCTTACTTCCTTTCCATTCACACATCTAATTCTTCTCAGACATTAATCTCATGCACCTGAAAATTTGCTTCTCCGAGAGATGCACCTAAACGGGGTAGAGAGTAGAAGGCAAGGATGCATCTAACTGCTTTGCCGCCTTTCCTATTTTAGGGCTTTTCATCCCCTTAAATTTCACCAAGCTTTATTTTAGGAAATAGTAAGGGTAAAAAAGTGCTCTTTTCTCCCACCCACGGTGTTCTGACTCTGGGTAAGAACTGGCTCTCTCACCTAGTGTTGTAGGAGTTTATCTGAGTCAGCTTGTGGAAAATTGTTATTCAAGGCCCACAGATGTCAATAGTACTGTGTGTAACATGTATTTTTTTAGACTCTTTAACACAGCTGACAAAATCAGAATGGTCTACATTAAAGTTCACTCTTATTCTGCATTTAAAACAAAAAGTTGTATGAGCAGGTTTCAGGACATGCTGTATCTGCCTCGTTTCAGGTGCTCAGGAGGAAAAGCTCACTAATTTAGTTGGTATAAGAATAAGGAATGCTGAGCTCACATTAATCTCTACCCTTGTTTGGTAAAAAACATCATGCAAGTTAGGCTCCCTTGAAGTCCACAGAAACTGTGACAACCAAATGTAAAGGCATTTGGCAGGCATGCTTCTAGGATCATTAAAACTCATTTGCTCAAGAGGTGTCTAGTAGCTGGATAAGCAGTACAGCGTAACAAATTATAAATGTGGTATTGTTTCTTGACTGCAGGGCAAGTGCTTATTTGTGCCAGTGATGACCGAGCTTGTGCACAGCTCAGGGAGTATATTATTGCTGGAGCAGAAGCTTTTTTAACGAGACTGTATAACAAAACCTTCGGAAAGGATGAGAAAGCTGGAGAAGCATGGATTATGGACAGAAAAGCCATCAAGTCCAAAGGAAATGCCAGACCAGATGGAGGGCCTCAAGCCAAAAAAGCCAAATTCGCAGCTTCGTCAAAACAAAGCAAACCCAAGAAGCAGCAAGACCGGACTATAATCCAAATGATAGGGAAAACTGAGGAGGAAAAGAGAGAGGAGGTGGAGGTGGAAGATAACAAAGAATTAAGCAGTAACCAAGAAAGCAGTATTGACGAGACCATTCCTGAAGATTTCCATGTGAACTTACCCTCTGATTGTTACTATGGCATTTTCAAGAACCCGCTCACAATCATTCATCCGCTGCAGGGCTGCAGTGATCCCTATGCACTCACTCGGGTCCTGCATGAAGTAGAACCAAGATACGTTGTGTTATATGATGCAGAGCTGACTTTTGTTCGGCAGCTGGAAATCTACAAGGCCAGCAGGCCGGGAAAGCCTTTGAGGCAAGTTGACCTGGTCAGGGTGATTACAGTCTTAAAAAGTGCACTTTGAACAGTCAGTGCAGACCGTGCATCTACTTACTTCCCTCAGCTACCTTTTAGTTCCTGTTCAGCCTTCTTATTAAACAATGGCATAATGTCTGAGGTAACTAAAGGATAATTTTTACTTCCCAGCAGGTAGTTAGTCCATTAACAGTTGAAACATACCTGAAAAAAACAGTTCATTCCATCTTCTACAAGACTTCTGCTTAGATGATCTTAATGGCAGTAGATCCATTTTGATGTGCTGTATTCTTACTTTAAACCATCTGTGTAGCAATGATTTTTACACAATAAGCTTCATTTTGGATTTAATTAATTTTCACATTTCCTGATGTCTGGTCATGCTGAAGACCAAAGTAATTCAGAAACTGTAACAGAAAAGCGAGGAAAGGAAAACACACTAAAGAACATGAGAAATATTTGCAGTTATACTTGGAGTTAGCTGACAGAAAAATGTCCATACTGTGCGTATACATATTTGATACACCTGTAATTTGCAAAACTCACTTCATGAATAAATATTACAGACTAATTAAAAATACAGAAAACTTTAATATACTAGGAGTTTTTAATGTTACCTTTCATTTCCATGGCTGCCTAATACAGCATTTCTTGAATACAGTGAACTGCAGTTACACCTCTGTCTCACTGAACATAACTTACAGCAATTTCTTAGGTCTGAGAATAAACACGCTTTTCTTTCCACAGCTGAAACACAACTTATTGACAATTGGAATTATTACCTTGTGAATGAAAATGCTTTATACTTTAATTACCTCATGAAAATTATTTGCATCAATTTAACAGAGCAGTTGTAATTTTCCAGTCAAAGATTTGTACATATGCACCATAACTGAAAATGGAGATTAGTTCGGCAGGGTTTAGTGTGTCTGTACCCTATCTAGTACCTGATATCCAGGTACTAGATAGGGCTCTCTACTGCAGATAGAAAGAGCAGAACTCACAAACATATATTGCATGAGGATAATTATTGGGTTATTTGTACAACTGATTTTTAATTGCCTGATCAGCATGTGCTGTATCTACCTCCAGCATCACATTCCCACACTTTAGAGCAGGAAAATCAGATGCAGTAATGCAAGTAGGGCTTAGGAAATGCACTGCATCAGAAAAGTAACAGGAGTAAAATCCTACCAATCTGTCAAAGTGTACTTGAATGAAAATATATTGGAAAAGATGACTGAGCTGGAAAGCTACAGGCAATTAATTCCTTAAGATAATTAGTAATTCTTGTATGTTCCATATAAATCGCTATTTGTGAAATAAAACATCATTTGTTGGTGTGTTCCATCTCTGCAAAACAAATGACAGCTTGTTTTTTCTAGAACCTCTGACTGCCTTGTACAAATACAGAATTTTAAAATCTTAGATGGTGTTTTTCCTAACTCAGATGATTGCAGATTTTTCACTTTGTTACATGTATTCTACTGGCAAGATTTTAAAAGCAGTAAGAAAGCAACTCCTCATTCTACTAGCTGACTGAATGGCTGACTGCAATCTGAGTCTGCTCTGGTTGAGTCCCAGAATTCCAGTAAATGTATCTGCCACTGGAAAAAGAGCAAACACTGGGTATAAGAATTCTTGTGGCTGATCTTGGAATGTCTTTACAGAAAAAGATTGTGTTTTTTCACTTGCCTTTTTTAAAGCAAATACTACCTTGTCAGGCAGTTAGTGCTACTGATCCTAAATACTGATTGTGGGGGTTTTCTAACTTAATAGGAAGTTTTGTGATCCTTTTTTTACCTCCCCCAAACCTACAGAGTTTATTTCCTCGTATATGGGGGCTCAACAGAAGAACAGCGCTACCTCACAGCTCTGAGAAAAGAGAAGGAGGCCTTCGAAAAGCTTATTCGGTAACAAAATTACTTTATTGCCTTTATTATTAATGTTTCATGTAATTCCCTTATATGCTTACGTCAAATAGAGTGAAGTTCTTAACTGTGTGAAGGCTTTAAATAAACTTCTAATTCAGTTGCTTTTCCTTCCCCACTGAGGATTAATGAAAAGGCAAAACCTTCCTTTTCAAAGAAACTGATTTTTTTTTTTTTTTTTTTTTTATTTTTTTACTATTAGAAGCTAAACAGCACCACTTTTATTTTAATTTAATTTCTGACAATGTTTTTTGTCTGCAGGTAACATTTCTTCTAAGATACTTCTAAGGCTTTTATGACTTAGGTTGTTTGGGGAAACAAAACAATACTTTTCATAGACTCATAGAATCCCAGACTGGTTTGGGTTGGAAGGGATCTTAAAGCTCATCCAGTTCCAACCCTCTGCCACGGGCAGGGACACCTTCCACTAGACCACGTTCTAACCTGGCCTTTTCTTAGTCTGTATATGACAGTATTGTTCCTGACAGGATCTGCTCACCAGGTTATACTGCCATTCCTAGTCATCAGCTCCTTTTGTTTCACATGCCCTGAGAAGTTCTAAATATAAAAAATCAGATGCTAAAAAGTGCTAAAAATTGAAAATAAAAATACAGCATCTAGCCCAACAACCTGGAGAACCTAGTAAACTGTGTTTCTCATCAGGTTTGCAATTAGTATTAAACTATGTCTAATTTTACATCTGGATGAAGAGTATTAAAGTTCTTTCATCTATTTTTTTCATATAATTGCAGTTTTCAGTGTTTGTTTGTGTTTCCTTAGAGAGAAGGCCAGCATGGTTATTCCTGAAGAAAGAGAAGGAAGAGATGAAACAAACTTCGACCTATTAAGAGATGCTAATCCTGCTTCTGCTGTTCCTGACACACGCAAAGCAGGTGAGCAGTTCCTGACGTGAGGCTTGCTGCTCTAACTATTGCATTTACATCCCATCCACAGTGTCTGGGTCATAGACACGCTGCACATTGACTCTGCAGTCTTGATGGCAAAGAAACAGTATCTCCCTCACTGCATCTGCCTCTGACTGTGCAGTGGCAATGAATTACATTTTGCTTTGAAAAGAAAATATAAATTAATGAAATATTTTACCACTAAGACCGATACCATTTGGATTGTTTCTAGGCAGCTTGTTGGTTATGAAACTGTCTAGTAATGCTTGTAGGGAGGTGAGCTAGTAAATGCTGAGGACTTCTTTTGATCTTGGCAAAACAGACTGCCTGGGTAAATGACTGTAGATTGTGGGGTTTGGCTACTTTCTTTGCAATGAAGCACCTTTTTCTTTTGTTGCAGTTCTGACCACTTTTTGTTCCTTTCCTCTGACATGTATACTCTGTCTTCAGCTTTACAGCTCTGCTCCTGTTTATCTTTGCTGTCACTTCATTATCCTACTCTTCTTTACCATATGCTCTCTAATCTTTGCTGTTATGTCTTTTTGGCCTTGATGCTGCAGTCTCTTCATGTGTGCTTCTACAGATCTACAGAGGCTAAAGCATAATTTCTACAATAAAATGCCATGTTTCAGTGGGAATCCGCTGGAAATGAGAAGGATCAGCTTCATTACCTTGTTTGCAGGCAACTTGTAAAAGATCTTCCTGATGCATTTAAACACTTTTCATCTACAGTTTAATGTATTTCATTGTCACATATACAGAGGTTACAGGAGGTAGCATGATAGTTCTATTACACTGCAGAGCATACTTCGTAAACTAGAGTGTCTGATTTTTTCCTTTAACAGTGAAAAAGTAAGTGAAGTCTGGCTTTATTATACTACTGAATTTGAGGTATAATTTGAGATGTGAAGCCCATCCATTACAGAAGCATTGGCAGCACACAGGAAAATTATACAACCAGAGCTGGAGGTTGTAACTCTTGGGTTAACTGTATTTCTTTTGCTCTTTAGGTGGCCAGGAACAGAAAAGTGTTCAGCAAACTATAATAGTGGATATGAGGGAATTTCGTAGTGAGCTTCCATCGCTGATTCATCGTCGCGGTATTGACATTGAGCCTGTTACTTTGGAAGTTGGGGATTATATTTTAACTCCTGATACCTGTGTGGAGCGGAAAAGTATCAGTGACCTGATTGGCTCCTTGAACAACGGCAGGCTATATGCACAGTGCGTTTCCATGTCCCGTTACTACAAGCGTCCAGTTCTCCTGATTGAATTTGATCCTAATAAACCTTTCTCTTTGATTCCACGTGGCTCTCTATGTCAGGAGATTTCCAGTAATGATATTACTTCTAAGCTAACCCTTCTCACACTCCATTTCCCAAAGTTACGTATCCTGTGGTGTCCCTCTCCCCATGCTACTGCTGAGCTGTTTGAAGAGTTAAAACAGAACCATCCCCAGCCTGATGCAGAAACAGCGATGGCTGTCACAGCAGATTCTGAAATTCTTCCCGAGTCAGACAAGTACAACCCTGGTCCTCAGGACTTCCTGTTAAAAATGCCAGGTATTAATGCAAAAAACTGCCGTGCCTTAATGAACCATGTTAAAAGCATTGCAGAGCTGGTGACACTATCAAAGGACGAACTCCACAAAATCTTGGGTAATGCTGCCAATGCCACGCAACTCTTTGACTTTATTCATCTGACCTACAGAGAGGCAGTATCTAAAGAAAAAAGCAAAAGGTGATGAATGGGATTGTTCAACATGGGGCATAGATAAGCTGTTCTTGCACAGTACTCACAGAGTACATGAACCATTTTAATAAATGCCCTCTAAGATAACTGTTTCTTACTAATGCTGTTCCATCAGTTTTAATTTTGAGTTAATTATTACCGACAGCAAGTTTCAAGAGGAACAGAACAAATTTTAAATAGGTATTTATTCTTTCTATAGCACTTCCACAAATTCTGTAGTATCACTGAATTAACTAAATTAAATTCTTCACCAGGTCCCTGAGAATTAAGTGCCAAGATGAATTAATAAAGGTGTTTTCATTTGAAAGTTATGATATCTTGTTAAAGCTAAGATGTCCTGTGTTTTGATTAGCACGTGTGACCTGCTGCATGATCTGTAACTTTTGCTTTTGCTGGTTTTATTAAGGTCTTACTCTCTGGAAATCGCCAATTTTTGATTGACAGTGATGAGGCTGATGAGGTCTTTGGTCAGGAGTTGTCAGTCAGTATTTAGAAGAACATAGTTGGACTCAGTTGTGAATTTTAGAATGTCATTGTAGGCCCTTGTCACAGTAAACCACAATTGTATGGTATGTTCTACGTTCTATTTGCTTAATTTACTTGAAGTTACGCTTTTCTTTTTTGACATTCCAAAGTCAGTACAGCTCTGTCTTGGCAGATTTTGCGGAGTGCATTCCTTTGGTCTGGGCTGGATGGAGGTTCTGTGGTAACATGATGGAACTTCTCAGCGTGCCTTACTTACACTTTCAAGATGCTTTATTTTTTTCACCAGTTTTGGTAGCTTTCAGCTCTATCACTTGAAAGTGATAAATCTAGGTATACCACTGGGACTGTTCCTTTACATCAGAGCATATTTCCTCTCATGAAATGCAAGAGTTTTCTTAAGGTTTTCCAAAAGGGTTGACAGTTTTTGCAATATTATCTTCTTTCTGAGTCCTACTGCACTTGCATTTTAATGTCTTAAGTAGACCCTCTGTCAATAAATTAAAAAAAAAAAGGGAAAAGTTCAGATAGACTGTGAATGTGTATATTGTTAAAAACATGTATTCTGCACTTACCTTTTATACAAAACTATGTAACCACCTGCCACTGCCAAAGGGCTGATCCTGCGTCATGACAGGCTAATGTATTTACATTAGCTCTGTACATAATCATTACCTGCAATGACTTGCACATGTATTTATATGATTGTAATGCTGGCAATAGATCAACATGGTCTCCATCGTGAAAGGAGAAAATACTGATTTTCTCTGTGCAGGTTCAGTAAAATCTGTACTGTGCACTTTCAGGTTTTGTGTTTGCTGTGCATTTTAAGTGTGAATTGATGAATTTGTTAACTTACAGACTAGGACTGAGCAGATTTCCAAAGGGAGCATTTTTCTGCAGGTGCAAATTTCAGTATTAAATACATCCATAACAAGATTAAAATGTGTTACTTACCTTGTTCCTCATTTGGCCATGTTGATATCAGAACATTTCTATTTTTAGTGTGTGGTTTATAATACAGATCTTAGTGTTTCTATTGCCTTATATTCTAATTTATTTCGTTTAATATAAAAAGAAGTGTCTCCATGAGACTTCTGCTTATTCAAAGCAGGAAGGTCAGAAATGCTCAGGATTGAGAATGCCTGTAAAGTGGTGCTAAGAGAACAGAAAATCAGAGGAAGAACAAAACTGTCCAGAATGCAAGGCCTATAGAGCCAGATTTGGAAAAGCACAGCTGACCAGCCTTTGAAAACATGGCTTGTTCGTGCATTTGCATCGTTAAGATATTACATGAACTGTGGGTTTGGTTTGTTGGCTTGTTTGGAGTTTTGTCAAATGTACTGCCTCTCAGCTTTGTCAGTAGTTTTTTTGCTTTGATATGTATAAGGTGAAAATGAAGGGGATATGAAAAGCTTAGAAATTGTAGCTTTGTGTTACATGCTAGATCAAAGTCACATGATGCAACTAAATTATGAATATTTGCTAAATGTTTAGATTGAATTGCCTTTTGTTTATATATGTGGAATTTTTGTAAGGGTTTTTGATTGCTTTTTTTTTTGATGCAGGATTTGGCTTTTTCTTTAAAACAGCCACAAGTAACACAGTTGTATGTTATTATTGCTCATTTGTGATTTGGCATTTTACTGTACCATCCTTCTGGGGCAGCAGGTATGAACGTGAACAAAGCTGGAAGAGGTCTTGTCCCCTGAAATCACTTAACCGTGAAATAACCAAGCCAAAGAGTTAACCTGTGCACAGACACCAACAAAGTGTTTGGGTGAATGACAGAAATCCCAAGGATGCATTCCCTGCCTTTATGGTGCTCTTCAGCTTGCTTTCATCAGCAGTAATGACGTTTTGTATATTGTCATTGCTTGATGTTTTAAATTTGTGCTTTTTCATTAAACAAACAAAAAAAACCCCAACCTGCCTTCACTTTGGGAGTGTTTCAGTATTCCTTCTTGCACCCAAACCAAGACTATACATTCCAAGGCTACTGGCCATGTGAAACCAGGGGATTTCTATGCTATTGGGAAGTTGCTTATTTCTACAGTTTGTCCTAGGCTTTGATTGCACTAGATTTCTTCCTAGAATAACAATACCCAAATCTCATAGGAACACATGCACCTTATATTAGTAAATGCATTTTGCTCAGAATAGATTATGGTGTAAGTTCCTGTGTTTGTTACCTGGATACTACTCCTGCTAGTGGTGCCACTTGCAGTTTCTAGCTACACTTGCAAAGGAGTCATTCTGCTTGCAGTGTTGCCTATGTGCAGTCCCTAACGAAATAAACTGCACTTTCACAATTACTTTTTCTGCATGAACATGTAGAGTGGGGCTTTTCTGGTATCAGCTGTATTGACTGCTTTCAAATTAATGCCTGCAAAACTTATATGTAAATCAGTTGCTCAGAAATCCACGCAGCTTATAAAATACACAGCTATACTCTGAAAAAAACAGTGACTCTTTTAAAAAGGACAGAAGTTTTAAGTGTGCGGATTGTTGTGCGAGGCTTTTGTATTTGCTGAGTGATGGTACAAACACAAATAATTTTTAAAAACAAAACCGTTTGTCTCTAAATCTTTCCTTAGTCATCCAGAATTCCAATTTTATCACTGTTGAATAGAATCCAAAAGCAAACATCTGCCAAAAAATACGTTATTAAATGAATACATGATTTATTGCCAAACAGCATAAAGAAACATACTTGCCATGTGTGGGCTTTCCAGTTGACAAGTCTTATTTGGGGCTCCGCAAGCAAGGTCTACAATTCTTTTAGAAAGACTATTTGAGGATGAAGTTTTCCTTTACCCTTACTCAAAGACAGCCTAAATTAATATTCCATTGGTCTTTTTTCTACAATTGTGGTTTAAGAAATGCAGGGAGGGTCATTCAGAACATTCAAAAACTATTGCTCTGGAATTTTGTCTTATTTTGCAACTGCAACTTCTCACGTGTTCACTCTTGACATAATAGCAAGAATTTTGAATATTTGTAGAATCAACTCAAATGAGGCATAAGCCCTTTTATGTTTTTCACGAGAGTCCTTAATCTTCCTGCAGTGAAAATACACTCACTGGCAATATATGCACTAATTTTTCTTAATTTGCAAGTGCATACACTTTTCTTACCCAAAGTCTTTCATTTTTTTCTATATATATATTTTTTTTTCCAAAACTTACCCTCTGAAATAATATTCCTGACATCCTGTTCCACAGCGGGCTAGCAAGCTAGTCAAAAATAAGACATAACTGATACATGTATTTGTCAATAATATTTCTTAGTTCTATTTCCAGTTTATTCCAAGTTCAGCTTCAAACCATGAGAATATCCTTCATCTACCACATGAGGTGGAATACTGAAACACCCAGAGTCTTTCTTGATGTTTACCAAATAAAAATGACTTAACTATGATAACAGCAAGTTTGGTGAGGCTACTACTGGGTAATTATTGGGCACACCTCTTGTAATCTAGAGTTGCTTTTTGTCTTATTTTTAAATCAAGATTCAAGTCCTAACATGGATGAATTTGAAAGGTTGCCTGATTCGTGTGGTGTAGAGTGATGGCAAAGACTCAAAGTATTTGGTAACAGAAAGAGAACCTGTAAACCTTCCCCCCAGCCCCTAAAAATGGGATCAGACAGAGTCACTGTGAAATGTGGCCCAGAGTGTAGCTGAGGGGTAATTCAGAGCTACTGTCCGCTCTGGCTTCAGTTGATGAAACACTGACATATGAAATTGTTCATTTCTGAACTTCAGCTTCTCCTAATACTCTTTAGGGGAACTAGTATCATAACGACTGAATAAAAACAATTAGCTTTTTTCCCCACTAAATTTATGCAGCTAACATACGTGTGTGTGTGTGTGTGTGTACGTGTGTGTACATATAAAAGAAGGGTCAGAAAAACTAGTACTGAGAGGGAACTGAAGGCGCCTGGAGAAAACAAACACTTTAGCGCTGTTATCTTCCCTTGTATTTTATTCTTGGAATCAGTAGGTTCTGGGGGGGGGGAAAACCTTACTCCATTGTAAAAGGCCAGAGAATGTACATGACTGGCCGAGTGTTTTGATAAGGTTATACAGGGAAATAGTCAAATGTCTTAAAGCTTCAGTGCCATCTTTTTTGAGTACAATAAGTGAAGCATTCCTCTCCCAGCCTTTTCAATAGGAATAGCCTGGCCATTTCTTTACTTGAGTGTTGATCTGTATTTACAAGCTTCTTCTCTGCAATAAATTAAAAGAAGGAATATTCTCAGCCACACAGTCTTGAAACGGAAGAAATGTTCAGTTGCGTATCTAGCCAATACTTAGCTAAGAGATGAATCTTTAGTCTTACTGAACTTAGTAAGGGTAACCAGGGCTACTACACTGGTGTGGTGATTTGTTGTCTAAACAGAAGACATTGCTGCAATAGATCAAAATGGGCCTGCATATGTACTAATTTTAGTGTGATCTTCTAGAGCATGGTAAAATTATCCGTATCCACCACTGCTATAAAGCAGC